GTGGGGTGGGGCGGGGAGCTTCAGAGATGGCGGTAGCAGGTGGTGGTGGCGTCCACGAGGGTACAGTTGGTGAGGGGCCGGGGCCTCAGCTCCGTGGAAGTGGAGCTGCTCTGGGGCGGCACCTGTAGAGACAGTTTTGTTTTCGTAATATTTCAGCGTTATCTTTTTAAAAACAAGGACACTTAAGAACACGCCAGGCACTGTCATCACCTCTTTAGGAGTTAGCCGTATGTGTTTCCTTAAAGTCAGTATCGAGCCAGCGTTCCCATTTTCAGTCGTTTCAGATGCCCTGAATGCTTTTATACCTGTTTATTCTAATCACCCAAGTAAGGCCTGTATTTCCTGTTGGTTGTTGCATGTCTGGGGTCTCTTTCACACTCGTAGCCCCGCCCGTGTGTGCGTGTGTGTGCTGGAGGCTGGGCAGTTTGCCCCGTCAGGTTGGCGGGTCTCACGCTTCAGGGTAACAGGTCACTCTGTCTCCGTGTTTCCTGTAAACCAGGCGCTCTGGCTGGAGGCCTTGCTCTGACTCGACTTAGAGTCTGTGGGGCCCTTGATGGCCAGCCCAGCCGCGGACGCCCAGGGTCTGGACTGTTCATCATCAGGCTGCAGGAGGATGTTGCTGTCTTTCCCATTTTAAGCTGGAAAACTTCTGCTCATACAGGAAAGTCAGCAGAAATGTATAAATTTTTCTCTTAATCAGTTTTCAAAATAATGAGCTAACTGGTTTCTTTGCATCCTCCAGGGGTGGTCAGGGTACTTTATACGCTCATTGACTGTCGACTTTCAAGGGAAATAGAAATCTGGAACCTGTCCAGTATGCAGCCTTCACGTGTGGCTGAAGGCGGGAGAGGAGTTTCTTCTTGGGGTGTGTAGGCTCGCCTTTGCCCCGCCTGACCTGGGAAGCCCTCTTGTGTCCCGTAACAGCCAGGAGGCAGAGGAAGATAAATAGAGAGCCGCAGCCCCTTTTCCAGAGCCCTGTTGCCCCCGACCCTTTACTTTGGTGGCATTTTGGACTTGCAGAAACACGCTTCCATGTGTGTCGTCCCCAGTTGTGGTGCCCTTCACCCAAACCTCCCCCGTGTGGACGTGTTCCGAGATCATGTGTGTCCACAAAGCTGGGGAAGGACCGGGGCCATGGGCCACCGCTGGGCTCAGTCCTCACGTGCACGTGACGGTCCCCTAGGGCCCTCTTCTGCCCAGGGTCCTGGGTCAGCCCCTCGGCCTCTTCCTCTGTGTCTGGTCCTCGACCTTGCAGATGCTCCTGTCGAGATGCTGGCTCTTCAGTCCAGGGCGTCACTCCCTTCGGGTCTGTCTGGTGCTTTCTCTTGATTGGACCAAGGTAGTGTGTTTTGGGGGGCCCAAAGTGAGGTGCCCTTGTCCCTGCATCTTGTCGGGGTCCATGCAGTAAACTTATTGGGGCAAAGCTGACATTGGCCCCTTGGTTGAGGTGGGGTCTGCTGTGTCCTCCATGGTGAAGTTTCTGCTTTTCCCTTTTAGTGATAAGTGTCTGTTTTGAGGTGGCTACTGTGGGCTGGAGTGCAGACCTGCAGGATTACCGCACTCTCACACCTCCAGCAAGTGTGAGGGTCCCTGTGACTCTCTGGGTTCACGAATTCTCTAGAAGGGCTCAGAATAATTACGGATTGTCGCAGCAAAGGGACACACGGTACAGTTGGCTGCAGGCAGAGGACACTCCCAGCGAAGCTACCAGCCACCCTGTCCCTGGCGCTGTGGTCAGTGCTGACGGCCCCACCCCCTCCGGAGGCCGAGCGGCTGCCACCCCGAGTCTCATTGTCAGACTGTCTGAAGGGGCCTGTCTGCCAGATGGCGCGTTCCAGGGGCCTCGAGACTCCTTCCCGGGGGCTGGGCCACGGGGCAAGGTTAGCCCGGTCCCACGCTGCGCTAGGTCTGTTCTCCTTATCCGCCCGCTTGTTCCGCGTGTGAGGACAGCTTGGCCTGTGCTGTCATTACTGTGGTGGTCTAACGGTGATTTTCCATTTCCCTCCTCCTGTGCGTGTATTCATTAGACTTTTCTGGAAGGAAGAGTTGTTCCTTCCCTCCCCTTATCAGTGCAGTCAGTTATATCAGTACAGGCTCAAAGACGTTGACTTTATCCTTCAGCGTAATATCGTTAGTGCTGGGTTATAATCGATACTACCGGTGTTTATTTGGCTGCTCGAATGTTCCACCTTTGGCCGCTGGCAGCTCTTTTGGTTGGATTCTTATGCCCTCCTGCCAGGCCCCATCATGGTTCTTGCGGGGCACTTCCCTCACTTGTTGGCACCACCAGGCCCAGCCCTGGAGCAGCCGCTTCTCAGGGCGCCCGTTCCCACGCTGGGTGCGGGTTGCGCCGCTGCCTGTTGCCCCAGGGCGCTGCTGCCTCGGGACGCCCGGCGGGCGTGCTGGGAAGCAGATTCAAACACGTGAGCCCACGCTGCTGTGCTTCGGATTCAGAGCGTGTTGCGTTTTGGGGTGGGAGTGTGGCACACACGTTCTGTATTTCTCACCACGCCTAGTTCTGGTGTTGGCTTTTCAGTGAAACGCATTCGCTTAAGTGAGTCGGTAAGACTGGAAAGTGTCTTTACGTGCTTTCAGGTTGCGTGTTGCTGCTACGTTATTTTGGCACCAAACTTGGGAGAAACCTGGGTTCGGGGACTTCCTGGGTTTCGGGATGTGGTGTAATAGGTCCAAGAGCAGAGAAGCTGCAGCAGCAGGACTGCTGGTGGAGTCAGGTCGTGTAAGCACGGTGGCTTCGCAGCGTCGCCGCGGTTTAGTGCAGCGCGCCCGTTGGTTCTTAGGGAATGCGTACTCTGAACGATTTGAAAAGTGGACGTAGGGTCTAAAATCCAAGACTGTTCCCATTGGGTTGCTGTTGAGTGCTGAGGTTCCCCCCTCAAACTGAGAATATCTTCTCAACGTAAAAGAGAAACTTTTAGTCTTGAAGCTGACAGTTAGCAAAATAAGCTTTAAAAAAAAAATGTACCCAACTTCAGAACTGTGAACGGGTGTGCACTTTCTGCTCTTTAAGGGCAGGGAACGGAGGAAAGCATGGTGCCCACTGGAGGACGTATAACCAGCAGAACACACACGTCTGTGTGACAGTGAAAACGTAAATGAGTGGGACTCCCCCACTGTTTTGACTGAGACAGAAAGCAAAACCCCAACCACACGATGTCCAGAAGAGACATATTGTGGATGGGAGTATTTAGAAGGTTAAAATTAAGACAAGATAAAGCAAAACAAAAAGCAAAAGTTGCAAAGCAGGGGTTAATACTAATATCAGAAGCATAGAATTCAAAGAAAAACAATTGGGGCAGAGAAGCTTTGCCTGTTTTGAGTTGCTGTTCACACATAATCAACAGTCTTACCGTGACTTGTGACCGTTTGTATGAATGTTTATGTGAAAACTTTCAGTAGCGAACAGCAGTGTGAAGTGAACACAGATGGACCCCAGGAGAAGCGGATAAAAACCTAGCAGTGTGGGAATTTGTTAATTTAATTATTTGCAGAGCAAGCAGAAAAAATAAAGATGCAAAATATGTTTACAGTGGGATTAGTAAAGTTGTAATAGATTCTACTCCATGACAGTGGAATATTTATATTAATTAAACAACAAATTAGGCGTCAGGAAAACCATAGCAAAGTCTAGGAAAAAACAGCTTGGTAGTACATGTTTTTGACCGTGATGTGGTAAAACACAGTAATAATCGCTTGGAAAACAAAATAAAAGTTAGTAAAAACTCTTGGGTGAAAGAAGAAATAGGACCTGGTTAGAGACTTCCAGTAGGAGCAGGTGGCCGGGTGGCAGCGTGAACTTGAGCAGGCAGTCTCTTGGGCCCCAGCCTTCTCTGTAAAACAGGCAGAAGAGCACCTGCTGGGGGTTCCCGAGGGGCTGAGGGTTCCCTAGGGGCTGGGGGTTCCCAGGGGGCTGGGGGTTCCCGAGGGGCTGGGGGTTCCCAGGGGGCTGAGGGTTCCCTAGGGGCTGGGGGTTCCCGAGGGGCTGAGGGTTCTCTAGGGGCTGGGGGTTCCCTGGGGGCTGGGGGTTCCCGAGGGGCTGGGGGTTCCCAGGGGGCTGAGGGTTCCCTAGGGGCTGGGGGTTCCCGAGGGGCTGAGGGTTCTCTAGGGGCTGGGGGTTCCCTGGGGGCTGGGGGTTCCCGAGGGGCTGGGGGTTCCCAGGGGGCTGAGGGTTCCCTAGGGACTGGGGGTTCCCGAGGGGCTGAGGGTTCCCTAGGGGCTGGGGGTTCCCCAGGGGCTGAGGGTTCCCTAGGGGCTGGGGGTTCCCAGGGGGCTGAGGGTTCCCCAGGGGCTGGGGGTTCCTGAGGGGCTGCGCTGGGCTGAGGCAGTGCAGTGCCTGCAGCCCTGGCAGGTTGGCGATGATGGTTCTGTGTGGGAGGGGCGGGTGTGCCGAGCAGGGCGCCTTCCTCTTGAACAAGGAGGAGGGGCTGAGTCTTTCGAGACGGAAGCAGAACAGACTAAGATGAGTCAGAAATCCTGATTTTGACACTTAAGTGTGAAAACCTACTCAGATTTTTAAAAAAATCTGTGTGGGCCAAACAGAGCAGCCTCAAGTGGGTACAGCTCCTGGGCTGCCATTTGCTACATCTGTCTGAGCAGTTTTACAAAGGATAAAGGGGAAGCGTAAGTGAATTCTACAGATTGAGTGGAAAGTAAGTAGAAATCCTCTATACTACGTGATTATAAGTTTGGAGTCCTTGCAACAAGATGCGTGGTTTTCCAAGAAGACAGAAATCATCATTACTCAGAAACCAGGGTTTGGACGCCGTGGATGGAGTGGAGTGAGTGTTTCGGGGCTGAGCCGTGGGCGGGTCTGCTCCTGGTGGAGGCGCGGTCAGTGCCCTGCTGAGGGACCGTGGGAACGGGAATCGCCCATGGCCTGGGCGTCTCCAAGATGGTGACTTCTGAAAATAGAACACCGCTGCCCAGAAAACACACTTGGGGTTCGGCAGCGCGTTTGGTCTGCTGTCCCCCAGCGGGTTAGGGAGCCTGACGTGATTGCGGTAGGAAGTCTGCTACTCAGGTCTCACAGGGAAGGGTCCCTGAGGAACGGTACTGTCTTCTCAACAGATCCTCTCTTCATTCTAAAAATTGGTTTCTGTTCCTGATGGAAATAGGAATGGAAGGAAGGTTCTGTAGCCAGAAGCCAACCCCACCCTAACGGTGGGTCACCAAAGGCGTCCTGCTTGGACTCACCGCCGTCGTCCCCTCATGTCAGTGTTGTCCCCGAGCTTCTGGCCCTTGAAGTAAACTGAGAGGAATGAGCGAGACCTGCAGGGAGGGTATAGACGGTGACTCAGAGAAGAGAACCCGAAGGATCCCCAGAAAGTGATGGGGCTGAGGTGTTGCCCAAGTGCCCCGTTTCGGCCGCAGGAGTGCCCTTTGTGGCCGCAGCTTGGAGGAAGGGCAGTGGGGAAGGCGCCTGTCACAAGGAGGATATTTGCCAGGTGGGTGGGACCTGAAAGGGGGGGGCACAGAGACGCTGCCGGGAGGAGGCTCTTGCGATCACAGTAATCAAGGAACACAGTAAGTCAGGAGGGGTGTGGGCATCACGAGGAGCTGGCCCACGATGCTTTGCAGGCTCGCGTAGGGCAGAGGCCCCGTGTGGGCATACGCGGGTGAAGGGCAGTCCTGGTGAGGCCCGGGTCCGGAGGGTGCGCTCAGCACGGGCCCTTTGTCCAGAGCAGCTGGCTGGGAGCGTTTTGGAAACGAGCTCGGAGCCAGCAGGAGGCCAGGCCGCTGGGGCCTCTGGGTCACTGTCAGACCTGGGCTCCTGTGAGAGCGTGATTAGAAGCGGGATGTGGTATTTTCTAAAGGATTCTTCCACCTGTCCTTGTGAAAGTAAGCCATAGGGACACGGCGCAGGCAAGGAGAGCAGGGGCTTCTTGGGGTCCCCCACCGAGGTCAGCATGGTGCCGGTGCGGGTGACCCGGGCCGGCGGGGCTGGGCCGCTGAGCACACGTTCTGACAAGCGGCAAGGGCAGCTCTGTCCGTTCCGTGAGTGCGTGAGGGCCTCGGGGGACCCTGCGACCCAGGCAGGACGCAGAGTGGGCGGGGGCGTGGGGCTGGAGAGCGTGCAGGGAAGGCTGTGGGTCTCCCCGGGCACTCACGGTTCATGCTCACCGACCGTCCGTGCGGCCGTGGGAGCAGATTAAGGAGAGCAGCGGGCAGGGCCGTGTGTGCTTCAGGCCCCGGCTTTGCGGTTGAGCGGAGGACTCCTGTCCGCGTAGACCGCCCCCTCCACCGGCTTGGGCCTGGCTGGCCGTGCGCCCGGCAGGCCTGCGCAGTGCACGGCCCTGGCTCGCTCTTTGGGTCCGTCCACCTTTCTGGGTGGGTCCTCACCTTGCCCTTCCTAGTGGGCCCAGCTTGGCCTTCCCGTCCTGGGAGGAAGGCAGGAGGAGGGGACCAGGACCTCGCTCGCACTGTGTTCCCTGGCCCATTCCTGCGGGGCGGCCCTGCCGTGGTTCTGGCCCTGTGTGCTGTCCCCCTCCTGGACTTTGGGGCGGCAGTGCCCTCCTGAGGTGCTGCCCAGGAGCTGTGCCTTAGTGCACCGTCACCACGTCCCTGTTGCCTGCATGGAGCCCCTCTGGGTGCCACACCACAGCGTCCCTGCGTGCCACTGGGCCCCGACCGACCCCTGGCGAGAAGCACCTCTAAGGGGCAGTGATGTTGTGGCTGCTTCTGTGACCGCAGACCTCGCTGAGGGCCCCTCGGCCCCTTGGTGTTGGCAGGGTGCCCCTGCTCCCTCATCAGCGCATGTGGGTGTGGGCTCGTCTGTACATCCCTGGAAACACACACGTCTGTACTTGGCGCACGGCCAGCAGCGTGAGCTTTGGCACACGGGTGCCCCGTCCCGCCCGGTGTCCCACAGAGTTCCTCGTAGACGAGGGCTGGTCCTGTGCCCTGCGTCCTGGGCTCCCCCCACCCCGTTCCCTCTCCACGTCCTCATGGCAGCCTGAGGCGTGGCTACTGATGCCCCATTTTCTGAGTAGGAACCTGAGGGGGACGGACCCCACGGTGCAGGGCTGCAAAGGCTTCAGGGGCCTGGTGGCACCACGTCACACGCGGGAAGGCCGTGTCTCACCAACCGCGAGTGTGGCGGATGCAGTGTTCCCGGGGAGCCAGCATGTGGCCCGGATGACGGCCTCTCTCGGGTTGGGGTCGGGGTGGGCACTGTTGTGTACTCACTGATGCCAAACAAGGCAGTTGATAGACGTCCTTATGGCTGATTTTTAAAAATCATAAACCTTCATCCTTAGGAACCAGAAAGATTGCCTAATAAGCAAGTCAGACTGGCAGCGTCGTTTCCCATCACAGTTGGGAAGAGGCAGCCGGGCAACAGCACAGGGGCGTTAGGCACGTCTGCGGAAGTTTGGAGGAGGGCAGGTACGTAGGGAGATGTGGTGATTGCT